AGTATAAAATTAATTCTGTATTCGACTGAAGACGCCTGCTGCCGCAAGGAACGGATCCAGCAACAGAAAATACTCGCTCACCATGAGTTTAAATCCCACCCGTTCCGTGGTTTCTCTTAGTCATCGACTTAGCAGCAGTTAGTGTTATCAACATATAATCTATAATTTCAAGAGGAAAGCTTTTATACGACTTTTCGTTTCATTCTGGACTATTATTAAGTCAGGAATTATCGAGAAAATGGAGAGAAAACTAGATGAGATGAACAGGAGTTGACAAGAAAGCTAGAAGACAACCCAAGTGAAGAAAATACTTGAAGACAGGTCAGTACGGTAGCAACAGCGGTAGTGGTAGCTAAAATTATTATTAGTAGTAGTAGTCATAGTAGTACTGGTAGCAATAATAGTAGTAGATGTAGTAATAGTAGTAGTAGAAGTAGAAATAGTAGTAGCTGTAATAATAGTAGTGAAAGTAGTAGGAGTAATAGTGTAATAACAGTAGTGGTAGTAGACGTAGTTTTTGTAGTAATAGTAGTGGAAGTAGTAGTAGTAATAATAATAATAATAATAGTAGTAGTAGTAGTAGTAGCAGTAATAGCAGTAATAGTAGTAGTGGTGGTAGTAATAGTAATAGTAGTGGTGGTAATAGTAGTAGTTGTAATAGTAGTAGTAATAGTAGTGATAGTAGTGCTTGTGGTGATAGTGTTGGTCAAAAAGTTAAACAGAGCACTGGATCAGATCACTTGTCGTCACTACACAGTCCAAATCCACATATTTACATCTCTGTGTAAGTTGTACATGCAGAATATATAATTAACAACTGAAAGTAGGTAATAAGTTCTTTGTCAAGTTTTGAACAATTACGAAGCACAGTATCTACACGTACGTTTAATTAATCTATATTAGTGTGTTAGAAGGAAGTCTGGGAGTATTTTTATGTAGTGTAATGTAGAGAGTTGTCACATTTATTTATTTGAAGACGTAAATTAGGCTTACATGTGTTTTTTCCCAGGTCTAAGTGTATCTTCCTTCCCAGAGTGTCTTACAGTATATGTCTTATTCTAGACTGTCTCCAAGCCCTCAGTGTGTCTTTCTGAGTATATATATATATATATATATATATAATATATATATATATATATATATATATATATATATATATATATATATATTATATAACGCGGGGAATTGAGTGATATATATATATAAAATATATAATAAAGTTGATGTATATATATATATATATATAATTATATATATATATATATATATATATATATATATATATATATATATATATATATATATTAAAATTATTTCACACACACACACACACACCACACACACACCACACACAGAAGGGTCAGGGGAGACATGATAACGACATACAAGATACTGCGGGAATAGACAAGGTGGACAGAGATAGGTTCCAGAGAGGGGACACAGGGACAAGGGGTCACAACTGGAAGCTGAAGACTCAGACGAGTCACAGGGACGTTAGGAAGTATTTCTTCAGTCATAGAGTTGTCAGCAAGTGGAATAGCCTAGCAAGTGAAGTAGTGGAGGCAGGAACCATACATAGTTTTAAGAAGAGGTATGACAAAGCTCAGGAAGCAGAGAGAGAGAGGATCCAGTAGCGATCAGTGAAGAGGCGGGGCCAGGAGCTGAGTCTCGACCCCTGCAACCACAATTAGGTGAGTACATACACACATACACACACACACACACACACACACACACACACACCACACACACATATATATATATAATATAATATATATATATATATATATATATATATATATATATATATATATATATATTATATATGAAACCACGAAACAAGTGGTTTTGAATTCTTTACCAAACTGCGGCAGTCCCGGATTCGACTCACGACACATTGTCCCGCATCAAGAGACCACACAAATCACATGTCACCTTACCATCTGAACCATCGATCCTACTAACAAAAATGAGTCTAGTGATGTTGAAAAATATGTATTTCGAGAGCAAAATAAAAACATTAAAGATAATCGTAGCTGAAGGAAGTAATGAAAAAATGAATTAAAACAAACTTAAGTTTTACGAAGAGTCAAGGAAAACACAATAAACAGAAGTTTTGATTCCCGGCAGAGGCAACAGCTGCCAGATAGGGAGACAACTCTTGTTCCCAGATGACCCTCGAGCTGAAATTTAAGCTGGAGTGGTGCCGAGGATCACAGCAGAAGAGACTGTGTGAAGCAGTGTTGGAACGCTAGAGTGAAGCGCCTGCACACACACACTATTATAATAGGGTTGAACTTAAGTAGGAGAGAGGCTCTTATGTACAGAAGTGTCTTACACTCTAGTATGTCCGATCATGAGATGGAATTTAACGTCGGATAGAGTAGGCACACGTGTTGACATTCAGTACTAGCAGCATCAGTAATATGCCTCGTAGAGGCTGGTACTTGCACTGACATAGGTTTAGAAGTAACGTTTTATTGTGGCAACGTTGCGCAATAAGATCACAGTAAACAGGTGATATCACAACATGCAAAACAATGAAAATCCCAGCGCTTTCGTGATTTCTCACGTTATCAAGGTCGTTGTTAATGAGATAAATAAAGAAAGTGCTTGGAATTTCCCTACTTTTTTCACAGTGGTTATTTTACACACACCACACACACACACACATATATATAATATATATAATATAATATATATATATATATATATATATATATATATATTTATATATATATATATATATATATATATGATTATACTTTTACCTAACATACTGTCGATATATCTACCAGCATTATTACCAGTCGACTAATCACTACCACTCGTGGGAAGGTAGGCCTATCTGTGGCATAATACAGGCTACCCGAATTACATATGACGATTGGACAGGGAGAAAGACAGCAATTAAGAAAATAAACATTAAATTCTGACAGTAGACTGAAAGATATTTAAAATGAGAATTAAAATTAGAATTAAAATGAGAATTAAATATATCACCTCGTTACATTATTAGACATGGATCCTAAATTTTTTCAGACGACTCAAAACTGATGTTAACTGAAATATGGATGATAGTACAGGCGCTTAGGGAAGTCAAGGGGCAGAAGTACCTAACTAAAGTCCCTAACTTGTGCCCTAATCATCACCAGGATGGTGGGTTGGTTAATGAGGTTATATAACCAATCGCTGTACGGTCACTATGGCTGTAATTAGCATCTTCATCACCAGATAAAAATAGTTTAATGTATGTTGTGGGTATTAAAGTATTCTCTGAGTATACGCCGAGAGAAATACACCTCTGAGTATGTTTTGCTGGGAGTGACTGTCTGGCCGAGCTGAGAAAACATTCTTCAGCTAACACGGATAACCACTGGCAAACAACCACTGGCAAACAACTACTGGCAAACAACCACTGGCAAACAACCACTGGCAAACAACCACTGGCAAACAACCACTGACAAACAACCACTGACATACAACCAGTGGCAAACAACCAGTGGCAAACAACCACTGGCAAACAACTACTGGCAAACAACCACTGGAAAACAACCACTGGCAAACAACCACTGGCAACCACTGACAAACAACCACTGGCAAACAACCACTGACAAACAACCACTGACATACAACCAGTGGCAAACAACCACTGGCAAACAACCACTGGCATACAACCAGTGGCAAACAACCAGTGGCAAACAACCACTGGCAAACAACCACTGACAAACAACCACTGGCATACAACCACTGGCAAACAACCACTGGCAACCACTGGCAAACAACCACTGACAAACAACCACTGGCATACAACCACTGGCAAACAACCACTGGCAAACACACATACCCACTGGCAAACAAGCATAACCATTGACAAAAAAACATAACAACTGGCAAACAAGTATAACCACTGGCAAACATATACATAGTCATTCACATACACACAGGGAAAACACATGTATAAACACTTGCATAACACATATATAAACACATGTATAAACACTTGCATAACACATGTATAAACACTCATAACACACGTATAAACACTTGCATAAACACACGTATAAACACATGTATTAACACTCGCATAAACACACGTAGAAACACATGTATTAACACTCGCATAAACACACGTAGAAACACATGTATAAACACTTGCATAACACATGTATAAACACTCGCATAACACACGTTTAAACACATGTATTAACACTCGCATAAACACACGTAGAAACACATGTATAAACACATGTATAACCAATCATTCCCTTAGTAACAGTATTTCCTCTCACTCTAAATTTTAACAGAAATTTGAGTTATTTTCTCACTGGCTCATTTATAAAGTTTTCGGCTTTTTTATGATATATTTCAAAATCTAATTGTTAATATATATATTTTTTGACATATTTCACATTCCACTTCCTAATTTTTCCAAAATTTCTCATTGTATTTCGTTTTTTCTTTATTCTAATAATACGGTATTATTGCCTTCCTTTATTATTATTATTATTATTATTATTATTATTATTATTATTATTATTATTATTATTATTAAATCCTTAATTTTATTCGTGAAATTCAGATATTTTTCCTGTTTTTTATTTCTGCTTCAATATATTTTCTCATAGTTTTTGTCTTCCATTTTTTCGTTTTTTTTTTTTTTCAGATTTTTTCTGAATTTGTTTCTTAATGATGGTTTAGTCTCCAGAGTAAATTAATATAAATCTACATCTATTTTCTATTTCTTTCTCTTTATTATCATTTTCAAATATCCTATATTATTTATTTTCTCTCTAAAAATATGTTTCAAATCATAATATTTTTCAGTATTTTCATCATCTCAATATTTCCATTGTTTTTCTTGCGTTTGTCTTCCCGCCTTTCTTCATTTTGCACCCCCCCCTCCATTTTCTTTTCCTTAGTCTTATTTCGTTTCAGGAAAAAAATCTCTTGCATTTATATTTTCGATTTCTACTAATTGAGTTGTGTTGTTTTGTCAGGATGAACCAGCTGTGTAAGGTGTGTGGAGAACCTGCCGCCGGGTTCCATTTCGGTGCCTTCACCTGCGAGGGTTGTAAGGTGAGTGTATACACACACACACAACACACACACACACACACACAACCACCACACCCCACACACATACACCATACAACACACATTACACACACCAACAACTAGGTGAGTACACACACACACAGGCAGGAACCATACATAGTTTTAAGACGAGGTATGATAAATCTCATGGAGCAGGGAGAAAGAGGACCTAGTGGTGCTCAGTGAAGAGGCGGGGCCAGGAGCAATGTCTCGACCCCTGCAACCACAAATAGGTTGAACACACACACACACACACACACACACACACACACACACACACACACACACACACACACCACACATAAACAAACACACACAACCCCCACACACACACACACACACACACACACCCCACACACACACACATACACACACACATATATATATATATATAAATATATATGTATATATAATGTTGATATCTGAAATTCCCCCAACACTAACCACAATTCTTCTCTCCGCAGTCGTTCTTCGGGCGAACGTACAACAACCTGTCGCAGGTACACGAGTGCAAGAACGGCGGCAGTGTGTGATCAACAAGCAGAACAGGACATCATGCAAGGCCTGCAGACTGCGCAAGTGTCTGATGGTGGGCATGTCTAAGAGTGGGTCAAGGTGAGGGAATCCCTTAAAACTGAAATTTTCCAGAGTTATTATCATATTAATAGTTATACTCTAGATCCATGTGGATCATGGATCAACATACTAAAAGTTATTACCAGATATATATATATATATATATATATATATATATATATATATATATATAAATATATATATATATATATATATATATATATATATATATATATATATATATATAAATGTTTTATATTTATTTTCAAATTACGGTCAGTATATCTTTGACTTGATTATTTTATTAAAGAATTTATTAGCAGTTACCAATTTTCAAATTAGTTCTAGCAATTAATAAGATTAAAACCTCTTAGTTAAATAAATAAAGCATTTGTATCCTGGCCAGACCAATAGTTATATACGGTTTTATATTATTATTATTAGTAGTAATAATTGCAGTATTAGTAGTAGTTATAGTATTTTCAAGAGAAGCGTTAAACCCATAGGGGTTGTACAGCGCCTGGGGAACGTAAGGTATGAAGGGTTGATGCAAGCGAAGAATAGCCAAGAGCCTTTGGAAAGCATCACTGTATAGCCCTTGTGGTTAGCGCTTCTTTATTATAATACAACTTTGGAAAGCATTTCTTTAAGGGGAAACTGTTATTTTTCCCACAGGTACGGCAGACGGTCGAACTGGTTCAAGATCCATTGTTTGCTACAAGAGCAGGCGTCCCAGCTCAAAGGTCTTGAAGGAGGAGGGGGCGTCGGGGGCGGGGGCGGGGCCTTCTCCGCCCAGATGGGCGGCTCCTTGTCCTTGTCGCCCGCCTCCATGCCCGCCCTCTCTCCGGCTAAGTCTGAAGATGAGACGAAAGTGGAGTCTCCGGTTTTGTCGTCTCCGGAAAGTTGCTTGTCGGAGACCAGCGTGGATGTAGAGCCGCGTTCTTCGCCAAAGGAGAGTGTCGCAGATGGTGGGCGTAGAGAGGTTATGGGAGCTGCTGGCCTCTCCCTCTATGGCCTTCACCCTGGCCTCTCACTCCTCCATGCTTCACATCTGTACTCGCGGCTGTATCCTCCGATGCTGTACCCAGGTCTGGGGACCTCCCTCCTGGTTCCTCCCGTTTCTCGCACCCTCCAGCCTCCAAGTCCCCCTAAGGAGCTATGCAACAGTTCCTTCAGTCCCAGGGCTACGAGCTCCCCTGGTAGGAGCCCTCACGAATACCAGCCTCATCTTCCTCCTCCCTTAGCTTTGCCTCTTAGCTTCCCCTACGCTAGGAAGCGTGTGGCTGGTGCTACCCTCGAGGAGATGAGAACGTCGAACTTGAAACCGCAAGCGTGGGTAGCTACCCCAGCTCCCGAACAGGATGCCCCCATTGACCTTAGCGTCAAGCGGCAGCGCCTCCTGCCGCCTCCGTCGCCTGCCACGCCCGTCTCCCCACCCGTATCGCCCGCCCACACACCCACACCCACGCCACCGGTAGATCTAACTACTAAAGCGTGATGAGGTCCGTTCATTACCACCATTATGGTACAAACAGATAAGCCTTCACTCCTAGCCTACCCACACCTGTCGTAGCTACCCAACTACCGTAGCCTGCGACCTACCGAAGCAAGCAACCTACAGTAGGCAGTGAACTACTGTAGCCAGCGAACTACCGTGGGCGAACGACCTTTCCCACTCGAAGACGATGGAGAAGTTATGAAGGCGGAGCACTTACTTGAGTCTTCGTCAGGAACACAGATACTCCAGAGGGCAAGTCACTACCCTCACAGGAATCGTCTAAGTGATTAAAGTTCAAATATATGGCCAGGGAAGGTTTTAACCTGAGTTTATAAGTCAGGTACCTAGTCCTACTCTGAAATAGGTGAAGAAACAGGTGAATTCTGGTCTGTTGGAAACTCAAACTTACTGAAAAAGAAAATTCCCTATTTTATCCATAAAATAAGTTTGATAGATACTTTACCTTATGCACTTATGGTGATACGTATTACCATATGTTCCTATAATGGTACATACAGTGCTGTATGTACTAGTGTGCAATACAAGAAATTTTATAAACATTTATATAAGGTTTTAAGTTTACATTTTATCTCAAAAACCAGAATTCGCCTCAACACATTAGAAAAACCTGTAAAATAAACAAGACAAAACAAGAGAGTTATATTTAGTGATATAATATATATATATATATATATATATATATATATATATATATATATAATATATATATATAATATATATATATATATTATATATAATATATATATATACATGGCTTCAGAGGAATTTGATCTAATAATTTCGAGTTCTTCATGAAGTTAGATTTACCTTTTCTAAAATTTAATATATTCCAGAGGCTTTATAAAGCTTCAAAAACACTTCCTCAAAACCGAAATAAAGCTCGTCTCTCTTCTGGAAAAATGAGCTTTATAAACGACGTGAAAAAATATGTACATAGCATAAATATTATTTTATATATATATATAATATATATATATATATATATATATATATATATATATATATATATATATATATATATATCCTTCCCTTGCAACAGAATAGCATAGTTATGTGTGTACTCGTGTGACGAACTATCTATTCTTGGTCAAGGGAGCATCGCCCCCTTGGCTCGGTCCCAGACCAAGTCTCCTGCGTCTAATTAGAGAAACGTTTTGACTATTTATGTGTGTGGTTGTATATAAAGCCTTGTACATACTGCGAAGGCCAGTGATTGAGATGCTTCTTGTGTGTCCTAATAAAAACAGAGATTATTCTTTTTCTTTGCCTTAGTTTGTTTTTCCTGATAAAAGATCGGATGTACAGTACGTTTTGCCGGAAGAGACTTTTATTGGGATAACGTTTCGCCCTGTGTAGAGCTTTATGAAATCACGACTTGATGACTGTCTACACAAAGCGAAATGTTTCCTCAGTCTTCTGCATATTGTATATTTATCCCAATATATCGGGTTTACGCATTTACATTCCATTTAATGAGATTATATATATAATATATATATATATATATATATATATATATATATATTATATATATATATATATATATATATAATGTGTGTGTGTGTGTTTGCTTAGAATTCGCAGAACAGGCGAAATATATATATATATATTATATAATATATATATAATATATATATATATATATATATATATATATATATATATATATTATATATATATATAAATATATATATATATATATATATGTATATAAATATATATATATATATATATATATATATATATATATATATATAAATGTATATAAATATATATATATATATATATATATATATAAATATATATAATATATATATATATATATATATATATATATATATAATATATATATATATATATATATATATATATATATATAGGTATATGTGGAGTCAAAATGCGTTATCTATGGAGGCAAAGAAGGGAATGTATGAAAGTATAAGTAGTACCAACACTCTTATATGGGTGTGAAGCTTGGGTGGTAAATGCAGCAGCGAGGAGACGGAGGCAGTGGAGATGTCCTGTTTAAGGGCAATGTGTGGTGTAAATATTATGCAGAAAATTCGGAGTGTGGAAATTAGGAAAAGGTGTGGAGTTAATAAAAGTATTAGTCAGAGGGCAGAAGAGGGGTTGTTGAGGTGGTTTGGTCATTTAGAGAGAATGGATCAAAGTAGAATGACATGGAAAGCATGTAAATCTGTAGAGGAAGGAAGGAGGGGTAGGGGTCATCCTCGAAAGGGTTGGAGAGAGGGGGTAAAGGAGGTTTTGTGGGCAAGGGGCTTGGACTTCCAGCAAGTGTGCGTGAGCGTGTTAGATAGGAGTGAATGGAGACGAATGGTACTTGGGACCTGACGATCTGTTGGAGTGTGAGCAGGGTAATATTTAGTGAAGGGATTCAGGGAAACCGGTTATTTTCATATAGTCGGACTTGAGTCCTGGAAATGGGAAGTACAATGCCTGCACTTTAAAGGAGGGGTTTGGGATATTGGCAGTTTGGAGGGATATGTTGTGTATCTTTATATGTGTATACTTCTAAACTGTTGTGTTCTGAGCTCCTCTGCAAAAACAGTGATAATGTGTGAGTGTAGTGAAAGTGTTGAATGATGATGAAAGTATTTTCTTTTTGGGGATTTTCTTTCTTTTTTGTGTCACCCTGCCTCGGTGGGAGACGGCCGACTTGTTGAAAAATAAAAAAAACTAATCTCTGGCTGAAGCAGACTCGAACCTTCGAACCTTGGTACAAGGTACGCAGTGCTCTAACCACCGTACCATGCTGGACCAGTACTTTGTCGTCCGGCCAACGCTAGATGTTTTGATCCGAGGCAGCCAGCATTCAGGCAGGTGGTGTTGGCTATTTCATCTCATGCCCTGCATGCATCGACCGACGGGAAATTTTTACAATGTTCAGAGCACTGCGTACCTTGTCTCAAGGTTCGTAGGTTCGAGTCTCCTTCGACCAGAGATTAGTGTTCGTGAATATTTCATCTGTTCTGCGAATTCCAAACATTGTAAAAATCTCCCGTCGGTCGAAGCATGCTGGGGATGAGATGAAATAACTAGCATCACCCACCTGAATGCTGGCTGCCTTGGGTCAAAACATCTAGCGTTGGCCGGACGACAAGGTACTGGTCCAGTATGGTACGGTGGTTAGAGCACTGCGTACCTTATATCAAGATTCGTAGGCTCGAGTCTCCTTCAACCAGAGATTAGTGTTTATATATATATATATTATTTTTTTTATTATCACACTGGCCGATTCCCACCAAGGCAGGGTTGCCCGAAAAAGAAAAACTTTCACCATCATTCACTCCATCACTGTCTTGCCAGAAGGGTGCTTTACACTACAGTTTTTAAACTGCAACATTAACACCCCTCCTTCAGAGTGCAGGCACTGTACTTCCCATCTCCAGGACTCGAGTCCGGCCTGCCGGTTTCCCTGAACCCCTTCATAAATGTTACTTTGCTCACACTCCAACAGCACGTCAAGTATTAAAAACCATTCGTCTCCATTCACTCCTATCAAACACGCTCACGCACGCCTGCTGGAAGTCCAAGCCCCTCGCACACAAAAAACCCCCTTTACCCCCTCCTCCAACCTTTCCTAGGCCGAACCCTACCCCGCCTTCCTTCCACTACAGACGGATACACTCTTGAAGTCATTCTGTTTCGCTCCACTCTCTCTACATGTCCGAACCACCTCAACAACCCTTCCTCAGCCCTCTGGACAACAGTTTTGGTAATCCCGCACCTCCTCCTAACTTCCAAACTACGAATTCTCTGCATTTTTATATATATATATATTTATATATATATATATATATATATATATATATATATATATATATAATATATATTATATATATATATATATATTATAACACCGCGTTTGCTTGTGTGTGTATATAGGAGTGTCAAGGAATAATGAACACTAGTGAATTAGAGCGGGGGGTTAACCCACATGTTGACAAATAACAGAAGAATAGTTGGCTGTGTATTTCGACTTCTGTCTGAGGTCCTCATCGGCTGAGTTCGGTAGCGATCGAGCTGCGGGACACTAGACATTCTTGGAACTGTAGGTTATCACTACATGTCGGTAAATAAAGGTGACCAAGTGTTGGACAGGTGCCTTAGTCATCAACCTGAAGTTGTTACATAACAACTTTGATGTAAATGCTTTTGAAATCTACCAGGTTGAAGAATTAGACACTTTAATTTTTCACGATTGATGGACTGAGCACATCGACTCGAGGCTGAGGGACTGATTACCTCACAGCCCTCATCTTCCACCGGACTGAAGAAGCCACTTGTTGGCGAAACGTTTCCACATTTAAGATTCCCAAATGTTGCAAAAACTAATTCTTTAATAACATTATATTGGGTATCAGAGCTTAGAGAACTGTTCCCAGATGTCACCATGACCTAGAGACCAGAGCTGCAAATCCTGAGTGATATTGAAAAAGAGATTAGGAAAGAAATAATTACCAATGGCTGGAATATTGACCACTCTCATCTCACTTAATGCTGTGAAGGATTTTTGGTATAAGGAGCCGTAGTTACCCTATTCTGGGGATCTAAACCTAATTTCTTCCCCTTCCAGAGGTGCTGTATAACACTAGTAAAGATAGTCCACTAATAATAATAACAATGCATTCTGTTATCTCCATCTTGATAGTCCACTAATAATAGTAACAATACATTCTGTTATCTCCACCTTGTACTTTCTCCACTCCCTCCATCCTCTGCTCCTACCACCATCTTCCCGACCTCTTCTACCACTTCCTCTACAACCACGTACAACCACAATTACTACACCCCTTCATCAGAGCAGCAAAACCCTAGTAGAACAAACTACCAGTCCACCCATCAATTACGACAATCGTCAATACCAAACTGATATCTTCATTAACTAAGCATAACTAAACTAGGAACACAAATTTCTTTGAAAGATCAAGAAACACCAGACCAAAAATGAAGAACTATATTTTGTTTGCAACATGATTGACCAGGAAGGTGTTACCTGTGGTTGCAGGTGTTGCATATTACACGTATTTCCTGACCTCTGTGGTTACGACTGGAATCTCACTGTGGTACATTACGTTACGTTTCTGAGTGCAAATAAGTCATGTCTCGTTCATCTCTCGCATTTGTGGAGGTGAAGCGACATGTAAATTCCGAATAGGTGTGGTGGAAAGATAGAATAAATTGGGAGGAACCCTCAGGCAGAGCAGATTGGGATAATTGATTAGCGGCAACGTTTCGCCCATCACCTGAAAAAGCTTTACATAGAGCGAAGCGTTCCTTAATCCAGAGGGTAAAAAAGATTCGTACCTGAGATGCTTTAATTAATAAAAAATAATCTTTCAAGCAGGATATTTATCGTCTCTTCTTGACCATCAATCATCGCTAATTGTTCCCTTTAATCTCGTCTTTTCTCTTTCCATCCTACCGTCCCACGCGCACACACACACCACCACACAACACACACACACACACACACACACACACACACACACACACACACACACACACTACAATGCACAAATGTTCGCTAAAATTCACACACCTTCACAGTAATGAAGACATATTTACTAAAATACATTATAACTTTTGTGTGTTTGATACGAGGTTTTACGTCGTAAATA